ATTACCGTCACGTCGTCGTACAACGTTAATAATTGATCCAGTATTATTTAAATAAATGGTTTGATCCTATGGTATAAGCTTAATTACCCGATAAGTTTTAGATTTAAAATAAATACATATTTAAATACAACAAATATAATAAAATACAAATATTTTATTATATTTGGTTGCTTGTAATATTTATATGTATTGTTGGATACACATGGATATTTATACAATATGAGTTAAAAATTTTGAATGATTTCTTGAACAAAAAAAAATAGTAGTAAATAACTCAATATATTTGTTTATAATATAGTATTAATTAAAATATATCATTAAAGATATCATCAAATGATTGTTTTTTTAAAAAAACAATGATAAAAAAATATTTTTGGGTATGTTTATACAGGGTGTTTCAAAAAACATGTTCTCGTGGCGAGGTACCTCGCGTAAAAATGGATTTTTTTTTTCATATCAACCTAGGTTCGATTCTGCTTTTTTTCGTAGCTATAGGGTGATAAAGTCTTAAAAATCTTGCTTTTGCACCCCAAGAACTACCACAAAGTTTTTGTATAATATTGTTTCGTGTTCTGATTTTACCAGCAAAATTTTCTAGATGTTTTCGAAATGATAGTGTACGGTCTAGTGTTTTCCAAATAATTTATGAAGTAACGTCAATGTTCATGTAACGTCAGCACAAGTTTAACATTTTAATACGCCCTATGTTCCACACAATCTCCATTTGCTAACTATCGGTCTTGTTGGAAATTCCTCATAAATTTGCATTATTGGTCCGGCCGCTGAACATATGAAAAAGCAATTTCTATTTCTTAAATGGAATAATTTCTTGAATATCTTATTTCTGTATTAGGTATTTTTGTCAGCAAGTAGTAATGTAATTTATAATAATAAGTATTAATTTACAACAATAAGTATCAATTTTAATTTGTCCTTATATCGAATTGTTCATAATATTCATAATAAAGAAAATGTAAATCAGACTTACAAATTATGTACGACTAAAAAATTATAGATTCTTACATAAATAGCTGAGCGAAAATTGACTGTAGATTATAAACTTACTATACAGTAGAATATTTATATTTTCTCACAATTTATCTCTCACACCTTCAAACCAGCAATGTTCGAAATTTCAATATGCTTTATGTTCCGCACAACCTCCATTTGCTAACTATCGGTCTTGTTGGAAATTTCTCATAAATTTGCCCGGCCGCTGAACATATGGAAAAGCGGTCACTCGAAGCAGATTGACATCTCGTGTCGGCGGTAATTCCACAACGAGATAGAATCAAATAAACCGATGACGAGTCAACTGACCCTAGACACGACCGCCGCGTTGTTTGGACCACGGCCTGTTTAATTTCCCCCTCGATGGAATATCGTTCGGGTCAAGTGGATCGGAATTGGATCGCTAAGAATATTAACGTTCGATAACGTTGATTCTTTACAATTTCAGAATAATTTGATACTACTGTTCATATTATTTGATGGAATAGTCGACGTGCTTTAAAAAGAATTACGTTATTTTGTTACTACATATTACCCTAACTCGAACGTACAAATCAAAAGATTTTGAATATTATATATGTATTACACAATATCGTAGAAAATATTTTTATATACACATATAATATGTATATTAATATGTAATGTTAAAGAATAATACATATCAATCTTAGATATATAAAATCCTGTTTACAATTTCTATTTCTTAAATAGAATAATTTCTTGAACATCTTATTTTTTTTTAATTATAGTTAGGTATTCTTGTCAGCAAATAATAATGTAATTTATAATAATAAGTATTAATTTATAACAATAAGTATCAATTTTTATTTGTCGTTATATCGAATTGTTGATAATATTCATAATAAAGAAAATGTAAATCATAGACTTACAAATTATGTACGACTAAAAAATTATAGATTCTTACATAAATAGCTGAGCGAAAATGGACTGTAGCTTATGAACTTACTAGACAGTAGAATATTTATATTTTCCCACAATTTATCTCTCACACCTTCAAACCAGCAAAGTTCAAAATTTCAATACGCTTTATGTCCCGCACAACCTCCATTTGCTAAGTATCGGTCTTGTTGGAAATTCCTCATATATTTACATTATTGGTCCGGCTGCTGAACATATGGAAAAGCGCTCACTCGAAGCGGACATCTCGTGTCGGCGGTAATTCCCCAACGAGATACAATCAAATAAACCAACAACGAGTCAACTGGCCCTGGACACGACCGCCGCGTTGTTTGGACCACGGCCTGTTTAATTTCCCCATCGATGGAATATCGAATATATGGATATACGGATATTATATATGTATTACACAATATCGTAGAAAACATTTTTTATACAGGGTGATTCCTGTAAGTCGGTCATGCTTTCGAGGAATGATAGGGGACGTCGAAATATTAATTTTGATATAGCACACTATGGGTCGGAAATGCCTCTTACGTAAGATACAGGGTCTTAAAGTTTTTGAAAAATTAAAGATATGCTTTAATAGTTTTTTAACAGTTGAAGGTATCGTTATAACATTTTAATTATAGGAGTCTGCCTAACAGAGACACTTTAAATAAAGTAAAAAGAAGAGGTTATAGTTTCAACCAGTGGCGTAGCTGTGATACGCATCGGGTAATATTTTCAAGAAAATAGTATGCCACTGATAAAAATAAAAATTTCGTTTTTTTAATTTACTCGGTTTATTTCCAAGAAAAAATGTATCTTGCAACTTTCTTCTATCTAACACCATTTTGCCAGAATTTAAAAATAAATATTTCTTTAATGAGAACCTTAAATATGCGAATTTTATAACTACCTTAAAACTAACAATTTTATTATTAACAATAAAAAAAAATTCCAGTTTAAATTTACAATTTTTAAAAAATTTATTTAGAGCTAATAGTAAAAAGTACTAAAGTTACCCAAGATGAAGGGAGCTAACGATGCACATGTGTTTCTGACCTCTAGTTATAATAATTCGCTGTATTTAAGATTCTCAATAAAAAATGTATTTATTTTTAAATTGTGACAAAATGGTGTTAGATAGGAGAAAGTTGTAAGAGACATTTTTTCTTGGAAATAAACCGAGTAAATAAAAAAACTCCGAAATTTTTATTTTTATTAGTGGCGTACTTTTTTTTGAAAAAATTACCCGATGCGTATCACATCTACACTACTGGTTGAAACTAAAACCTCTTCTTTTTACATTTAAAGTGACTCTGGTAGGTAGATTCCTATAATCAAATTTTATAACGATACCTTCAACTGTTAAAAAACTATTAAAGAATATCTTTAATTTTTCAAAAACTTAACACCTTGTATCTTGCGTAAGAGGCATTTCCGACCCATAGTGTGCTATATCAAAATTAATATTTCGACGTCCCCTATCATTCCTCGAAAGCATGACCGACTTACAGGAATCACCCTGTATACGCTTGTAATATGTATGTAATGTTAAAGAATTATACGTATCAATCTTAGATATATAAAATCCTGTTTACAATTTCTATTTCTTAAATGGAATAATTTCTTGAAAATCTTATTTTTTGTATTAGGTATTTTTGTCAGCAAATAATAATGTTATATTAATTTATAACAATAAGTATCAATTTTTATTTGTCGTTATATCGAATTGTTCATAATATTCCATTATAAACAAAATGTAAATCAGGTACTTACAAATTATGTACGACTAAAAAATTATAGATTATCTTACATAAATAGCTGGGCGAAAATGGACTGTAGATTATAAACTTACTATACAGTAGAATATTTATATTTTCTCACAATTTATCTCTCACACCTTCAAACCAGCAAAGTTCAAAATTTCAATGCGCTTTGTGTTCCGCACAACCTCCATTTGCTAACTATCGGTCTTGTTGGACATTCCTCATAAATTTGCATTATTGGTCCGGCCGCTGAACATATGGAAAAGCGGTCACTCGAAGCGGATTGACATCTCGTGTCGGCGGTAATTCCCAACGAGATACAATCAAATAAACCGATGACGAGTCAACTGGCCCTGAACCCGACCGCCGCGTTGTTTGGACCACGGCCTGTTTAATTTCCCCATCGATGGAATATCATTCGCGTCAAGTGGATCGGAATTGGATCGTTAAGAATATTACCGTTCGATAACGTTGATCAATTATAATTTCAGATTAATTTCATAACTTATTACTCGTATTATTTGTTGGAACGTTTCAATAAAAAAATTAAGGAAGTCGCTTATCAATAAACTTATTGGGTTAAATTATCAGATATAAGTATCTTATATATTCTTTAATTAGAATGTGTATCTAAGAAATCTGTGAACAGATCATTATTTATTACAAAGGTTTATTAAAATTCTATAATAATTTTGTCATTTTGCGCTGCACTATAGTGTTCATAATTTACTAAATTAGAAATTTGCTGTTTGTAATACAAAAATACAACAATCCAATTTCTCAAAGCTACTTCTGTAAGATAATCTGTCAATTTTTAGATGTTCATAATTTCTAAGACTAAGATATATTTTCTTCATAAGGAAATAATATGAATAATTGAATATAACCAAAAATCAGCAAAATAATATTTATGCTTATTGTTATAATTACATTATTATTTGCTTACAAATACATAAATAAAATTTAAAAAAATGTAATAATCAAGAAGTATTCCATTTGAGAAATATTGTGAAATAATTTCATATATCTAAAGATGATATCTAAGAATGAACAAATTTCATAATTATAAAATTTTGCTCTAACTGATTTTATAACAAATTTCGTTACTGTTATTTTCGCTGTATCATGTGTAAATTATTTTAATTTTAGCTAAAAATGTCAAACTGTTATGATTTTTTTTGTGAAAAAATAGGTACCTATACAAATTTTCTTAAATTTGGTCTGTTTCATATTCTGCGCAAATTTTCAAGCACAATTTTAGTTAGTTTGGTTTGGTTTGATTGCAAAAAGGGGAAAAAGAAAGTCTAACAAACTTACCTTTATACGTTACTTTGTTAAACACGGTGGTAATCAGCCTGAGTTCTCCATTCGGCGTGTCTCCAATCTGTAATCGTGACAAGAATACATGCGTTAGTTTATTTTATCAAGTTTTTCCTGCTAGACAGAGATCTTAATAAACTAAGCATTGAATATTTTTATATCTTTCGTACCTTGTAATATAATAAAATTAGGTTCTTAGTTGTCTAAATACTTTGTATTTTTAGAATTTATTTTGATATAAAAGTATTATCTTTACAAATTATACAGAAAATATAAGAAAACGATATGATAATAATAATAATAATGATTTAAATTTTAGAGTTAGATTTTAGAGAGAGAACGTTTAGATTTAAATTGTAGTTTTATAGGAAATATCTAAGTAGTAATGAAAATATTATACAAATTTAAATAAGAGTTGTAAATGATTTTAGTATAACCCCTTTTTTCTTTCGTAAACATGTAGAACCACGAATTATCTTCTGTTTAAAACCCTTCAATAAATCTCAGTATAAATTTCAAATTACATTATCAATGTTTCCAGATCATTTCCGACAGCCCATAAAGTAGGAAATTGTGTGTATATAGCCCTAAATCAACCTAATAAGAACTAAAGTAAAGTTCACCTTTCCTTTAGCCTATATATTACATACTATTGATAAAATTACATATGCAAAACTAGTTTTCGTTGACGCTATAAAGTATAAAACACCTTCTACACCATGCTCGAAATGCTTCATGAAATATTTCTGGAAATATTTCGTGAAACATTTCGCCAAGTATTTCTTGAAATAATTTCAGAATTGAACGCAATGCTTTTGTTGTGTTAAGGGGAATCTTGGCTTGTCTCGGCCGCAAACTTCGAAACAGATCGAAATCGACCGATATAAGCCGTGATTGGTCCTTTTTTTATTGTTATTGTCTCGGGAAACGTTTCGATCGGTTTCGACAACATTTTTATAACAGGCGTAATTCTTCGTACTACTTCGCGAAGCAATCAAGTTCAAACTTTGTGAAAGCTTTAGATAGATAAGTAAACATGGAGTATGAATAAATATGTATTATTAGTTTGTAATGGAGTGTAATGTAATCTATACTAATATATAAAATCCTTAAATGACTGACATACTGACTAATCACGTTCCTGCTCAAACCACTCAACGTAAGAAGCTCAATTTTGGCATACAGATTGATTCTAAGGTGTAGAGGTTCGATAAGAAGGGATTTTTCGAAATTCCAGTTCCAAGAGGGTGAAACAACCCCTCAAATATTACAATATTTTTTATTTAAAAAACGGTCAAGTTTCCGAAAAAACGCTTAAACACGTATATTTTATTTTGTTTTTTTACATATTTTAAGATTTTTTAAAAATGTATACAGGGTGTTTCGAAAAATCTGGTCATTGATTAATCACGATCCTGCTTAAAGCGCTTGACGTAAAAAACTGACTTTTGGAAAACAGATTGACTTTACGGTGTAGAGGTTCGATAAGAAGGGATTTTTCGAAACTCGAATTCTAAGGGGGTGAAACTGTCCCTCAAATATTAAAATATTTTTTATTTAAAAACCGGTGAGTTTTTCGGAAAAACTCTTAAACACGTATATTTTATTTTGTTGTTTTACATATTTTAAGATTTTTTATAAAGTTATACAGGGTGTTTCATAAAATATGACCATTGGGTAATCACGATTCTGCTTGAACTGCTTGACGTTTAAAGCTGATTTTTGGCAAACGGATTGACTCTGGGGTGTGGAGGTTCGATAAGGAGGGGTTTCTCGAATCTCAACCCCTCAAATATTACCAAGTTATATAATAATATCACCATATTGTTTTTTCTCATGCCGACATAAATGTGACAAAATTTTATCCAGTTTGTATGTTAATGGAAATTCTTGTTTGCTTGATCATCACCATTACAAATGATTAATTCGACGCGAACGAAGTCGCTGGTACACGCTAGTACCACTATATAAAACTGATATGAAAAATTAAAAACCGTGCATTTGGAAAACAGTTAGCGATGGTAGATTAAATTGGCCATTCGTCTACGGTTACACAAAAGTTTTAGTTTTAATCATTGTCTATATTATTATTTACAATATAGTAGAAAACATATATTTCCAAAACTCAAAATTGTAAAATTGCAGGGCAACAGTGCTTATAAGCCACGGTATTAAACTATTCAAAAAAATCGTCTAATTATTTCTTATTTTTGAATGGATTTATATCAAACCATGTTGTGTGCTAACAAAAATATATTTTACATTTTTCTCTTAAAACATTAAGAGAACATTGCTTTTTAAAAACCGTCCGGCCTAATGACATATGGAGTGGTCAGAATTAAAATGTACCAAGTCCAATTTCCTATTATTTTAAGATAATCGTCTTATACGTTTATAAAATATTGTTTTTTTCCAGTAGAGAAATGAATCAAGTAATACTTCATGCATTAAGCAGCTTTAGCCTGTTTCTGTTTGGTTTCTGAATATTCTGCCGATTACTTTCAAAATTGAACTGGATCAAGTCCATAAAATTTAACGCTGTGGGCGATTTTAACACACGTGCTAAAGTTTAGAGCTAAACAATGTTTTAGCTCTAAACTTAACTTAGCTAACTTAACTAGCTCTAAACTTACTACTGACGTCTTTTCAAATCCTTACTTAATTTTAATAAAATAGTATATTTAAAAATTGCGTTAGGATGCAAATACCGTATGATCGAAAAAAACCGGCGTCCACTTGGCCAGGAAATGGCGATCGATGACATTTCCCATAAAAATTTACATATAAAATGACAGCGCTCTTCATTTCATAGCCAATATGCTTCATACTGCAACAAAACTCGTCTTTTCCGAATTATTTTTGTGTTTTTTCTGTTTAAAAATTAAATATTAATTTTTATTTCTAGAAAAACGAGATACAAAAAAAATGATTCCACTCAATGGACACGTTTTTTGTAAATTATCGCTTCAAACATTTGCTAAAACAGTTTTTGCTGATTATCTCGAAACAACGTTTGTGGGATAAGACCGGTTTTTGCAACTTGACGCCTACATATGCTAATAATTGTAAATATAATTCACGAAAAAACTGGAGGGTTAGGTTAGGGTTAACAATGTATTAGAAAAATGTTAAAAAACGATTTTATTTCTAGTAAAAATAAATATTAATAACGGGTTTTTAACATATTAGCGCCAAATTAACATTTTAATAAGTACTCGGCCATTATACAACGTAGTTATCGGGCATATTTATCGGCCCATTACCCTAAAATACATAATAATATAGTGGGAATAAACGTAAAACGACCGCACAGGCCGGCCGGGCAATTCGAAGTCGATAAAGCGACATCTATGGACTAATAATTTCGGCCGAATGCACGCGTGACGCGACACAAAGTGTTCATTTCGCTCTTTTTATTGGAGGGCTGTGGAGACAGTTGAACGTTTATCCGGAGCGGCCGACCTAGTTTATGCCGACAGTCTGGTCAGTGTAACCGATAGTGCACTAGGGATGGCCATTTTAAGAAAGAAAATCGATGTCTGTTGAGATGAATCGCCTATCTAAAAGTAAACATACTTCTTTAAATACAAAACATTCATTTTTAAGACACTCTGAATACATAAATAAAATTATTGATTTTTAAAATATTATTCGCAAACTAGGGAGAGGGAAATCAGATAAAAAAGCGATAATAGAGGCTAAGTAATAGCTTTAGACTAAAACGCATTGATGTTATTTTGGTTTATAATTTTTGGTTATTGTGATAAAGAAGGTTACTAAAGATAAAGTAAATGTTTCCTTATTATTCAACTAATGTTAACTAAAGCATATCTTTTATTTTTCTGTTGAAATATTCTATGTTAAAGCTTTTCCTTATTTATTTGATTTGGCAAAGGTATTATCTAGCATGTGTATGTATTTAATGGATTCGATTTATGCTGTAAATAATTTCTAGTTTAATTTAATCCGGTCGTTTACTGTCCATTCGTGCCGATGTTTTTGGTTCAGTATGATTTAGAGTGACGCTAAGGGTCTTGTTGAGTGTACTAATATTTTCCAACATTGCCTGGGCGAATTATCTTACCACACAAGTGAGCAATCAAAGCCAAAGGATGGTATAACTCATAGTCTAAATATATTGGTACCAACCATACTAACTCTAGCTGAGTAGCCTCCCGAATCCAGGGATCTCAGTACCTGCAGGTGGGAACCTGCTAACTAACAACACCTCTTCAGTTGTGAATGTTTTAAGTGTGTTAAATCTCAAACCTTGGTATGAAGACAGTATTTATTTTATTATTATTACTCTTTTCTTAATGTTCAGAACAGCATAGTTGGATTCTTTGGAATGAAGTGATGAAGGTTTTCTCTGCCTTGCCCTTTTACTTCTGAAATCCAGGCAGAGTACGGCACTCCTTTCATTTTATTTAATAAAATAAGTAGGGTTATTTACAAATTTAGCGTTTGATTTACATAATTATGTAAATCAAGGACAATAGATTATAATCTATTGTCCTCAAATTTCCATAATATTGCTTCCATTGAGCGCATCCGAGGTAATCACAATAAAAAAACATTTTTAACACAACGTAGACTCCTTTAGGTACTTCATTTGAATTGTTTGTTATACAGTTGGCCAAAATATTACCTCTTCAACTTTGTTGAAAGAACTTGGGTTGTTATACTACACAGTGAATCGGGTTTACAACTTCTTTTTATAGGCTTGGTTCATTTCAGTTGATTTTAAAAATTTCGACCGCAACGCTCGATACGGCAGAAATCTGAAGTTTTCGGCTCTGTATTTTACACAGTTCCGATGTTGGTCGCATTTAAATAATAATAAAATCGTGGCTTTGTCATAATATTTACTTAAATATTTTAGATTTTAATAGTGTAGCTATTGAAACTATAAAACATATTGGGTATGAGGTTCCTATGATGTAACACTGTTTCGGGTAGTAAAATTTAAGTGAAAAAGAACCCAAACTGGGCATCGCTTCGTGTTATGACAATTTTTAATGTTAATAAAATTGTCACAAAAATGTTAACACATAAAGGAGGGCG